CACAAATGACTTGAACTTTTGTTTGTGTGTGTGTGTGTGTGAATTTGCTGACGTGCAAACAAATACAATCGAATTCAAGCAGTCTGGGAAAAGAATAGTACCTGTGGTGGTCAAAACTACCTCGAACACAAACGTGTGTTACAGCAAAGTGAAAAATTCATCCCAGGCACACAACTCCATATTCCTCAAATATTTGAGGGTGAGAGGAGGCGCGGAGGGGGGATGCGGGATCATCTTGTTGACCAAGGGGGTCCCAGAAAAATATTGTTCCTCTGCTAACTTGTCCAATTTCAGTTTAATTTATTTTCCACATTGGAATATTCCAAGTCAAATCGGTTGTGTTTGCCTAATAGTCTGTCTAGTCAACAAGCGCAAACTTNTGACAGGAGGAAGGAGGTTCGTAATGACATGATGTACCCAAAGTGTCGTTTCGTAACAAATTTAACAAGTATGTATGTATGTATGTATGTATGTATGTATGCTGTTTGCCTGAGCCAAAAAGTCCCACGGAATGATCAACTACGATAAAATTGATATGTGATTCTGGACTACAAACACTGGTTTGTGACATGCACACTTTCCAAAGTCTATCTTCCAACTATTTCCATCCGCCCAAGACATATTCGCCAATTATGATAACCTTGAATCTTTTTTGAACGATTTACCAATTATTAAAACAATGCCACATTGAACTCGGTGCCAACAGTCAATCATTTCGTCTGTACCAAAATCGATTTTCTCAGGGTATCTTTTGTTTCCTGAGCCAATACTGAGACGGAGGAGAAGTTGTAGTCACTATCCTATATGCATTGTATAAACTTCAAAAAAACCATGACTCTATCTATCTAGGTCACGTGATTAGAAAACTACCCACAGGGCTACCGACTGAGATTGTGTCAAAGAGAACACAAAATTTGACGTCTGTTCCGACAAAATTTGATCAGATTTTTGTACAACAATTGGCTCCTCATAGACTAATACATATGTGTCGAACTGGCCTCGTCAATCAAGACTGACTTCACACAGATCACATGACATACTCTCCTAAAGCAATAAATCAACTCACAAGCTATGCAGATTGACGAGGCATGACTACGTTCCAGGTTTATGGAATAAATTCCCATAAATACATGATGATGATTAGGTGGCTGCTATCTGCCAACCGGGGAACAATTCTTCTGCTGCTTTCAATCATGATTGAACCTGGGCGGGGGGGAGGAGAGGGACCACGGGACAACGGCGGGGGAGAAGGGGCAATTGATTGACGTTCGTCGCAGCAAAGCATCATCTCAATCTGATGCGAGTCAGAAAGTACAGGTTTTATGGAACTTTCAACTATTGGCGGCCTGAGATCTGAAACAAATCGTTCGGCACCAAATGTGTGAAAAAAGCTATTCGCTGCATAGAAGCGGTGTAAGTGATCAGTGGATCGAACGTTTGTGAATAAATAACTCAAATGTGATGACTTTTAACTCAGTTTACCGATTAGTGATGTACACGATGAGTTAATCCTATTCACATCGACGTCTGTGCGTATGTGCGTGTGTTTGCGATTGTTTGTTGTGTTTCAGGGAAGAACGTGTGGGGTGTGAATTTTCTGGGGAACAAATCTCTCTTCACACACACACACACACACACAATCCACAGTTCATCTAGCCAATCATACACTCGGAATCAGTAGATTCGAGTTTTGCTCTTAACAGAACACATCAGTAGTGCATTAGCACCGTCCTGTCCGGGTTTTGGACTCCGAACCCAATTGGGATGGAAGGTGTTCGTGTTAGCACTGTGCCAATCTCGGGGCTGAACCGAACTGCCAATTCACGCTTGTTCATATGTCGTCTTCAGGTCGACTGCATGAACTGAGGATTGTGTGTGAAGGTGAATTCCGAAGGATAGTCGTTTCAAATCAATATCAATTATCTTACACAATAATCACAAGGAATTGGTAGTTCTTTGCGATATATCAATCCAACCTGGTAGGTTTGTGGCAATTCAGCCAGTAACCCACACAGAAGTCCTGACTTTGTTTGAGGCTTACGATTGGAGTTAACCGATTGTCATCTGTCTCGTTTCGTTGCTGTCGGGCCAAACTGAACTGACTATTTCTGAAGATATCACCTAAACAAACATGAATTGGCAGATCGGATAAACCCAGATATGAGCTAGTTGGCACAGTGATAGCACAAACGCCTTCCATGCAATAGGTTCATAGTTGAAAGCCCAGACGGAACGTTGGGTAGGCACAACTGATAAGCTATAATAGGAGCGAAACTTGAGTCTAGTGCTTCCGAGTGTTTGGTTGATTGGAAGAACTTAGGATTGTGTGTGAAGATGAAATCCAAAGGATGGTCAGTTCAAATCAATATCAATTATCCCACACCGCTACTCAAAGTTACCTGTGAGTGGATTCCGAAATGTCCATATTTTAATTGGATCATCAGTGCAACAGCCAATTAGGTCTGCCATGCATGTGTGCGAAGCTGTCGGAAACGTAACACACACAATCGCACCACCAGGGTTCTTCACAGATGCACTCTATGAAAGTAAGAGTTACTCAATTGTAAACGTTCCCGTTTTATGTTTTTTTTATAATGTGTGATTTATTATATTGTGTGTGTGTGAGGCTCTCGGATGTTAAATATTGGCGCACAGAAACAGCTCAAAACTTGAAAGTTAGCCCTTAGAGCGATACGTGCAGTACGGTCCGTGTCCTAATCCAGTGGGGTAGAATATGTGAAGACCCATAAACTGTCTATTCATCACAATCCCCCAGATCATGAGTAGAGAGGATCTTATTCTTCATGCATAAGGAGGGATTTCAGTTGTTCGAGTTCCGGTTGAAATTGAAGAATTGAATAAGACAAAGCCACTCGATAATATATCATTGAAAAACGGTCCAAAACTCTCTTACCTCATTTGCGCATTCGTACAGCTGTTCCGAAGTGGATAGGATGAGATGTTTCGCGAGGACGCACCGTATGGAATGGTTCATTCAAAACCTGCCCATTCCACTTGTTCTACATCACTTCTTTTGATTGATGAATTATAGTCCGATAAACGTGGAATAAGTTTCGACTGTCTAACCAAAAGTATGAAGTGGCCATGGTAACCGGAAAATAGAACAAAATATTATCAGATAATTATCAGCAAAACGATTTGGAATTCCGTTCATAAAATTGAATAAGAATGGATGAGTGTGTACACGGGATGAATGAAGCTCATGGTATTATTGAGCCGTTGCCTACTACTGCGCACAACCCACTTCCCATTTCACTTCACTTCAATCGATGTATGGAGTACAGATTGTTAGGTGTACCAATATGCGCACTTCTGGAGTTCCTTAGGAAGTGTGCAACTGGGACAGTTATTCAATAGCTAAGAGTAAAACATATTTCCACCAAAATTCTCACCCAGCGGGGATGTGTGTTCGAATTCCACCACTACCGCCACCATATGACTTTGCCCAATCTCTGCATGCTGTATAGCAGCCCTTTGATTGGTCACTTTTCTCTTCTGAAAATTGTATCATTTAGTATTGAATAAAAGCAAGTAAAAATGAGGAAAAAAACAATACTGAAAAGAAAAAGAAATGGACCATCGCCTTTGGTCAATTTTGTGACCGAAGAGTGCGAACGAGGAAAAACTGATTGAGATGAAAATGTGTCCACCAACTCCCTCGTTCCCCTTCTCCTCAAGGTCATAATTA